ACATTAACAGATTTTATCACAATTATTATTAACCAGTATCGTGGTCGCCATTACAGGTCAAATTTTGATTTTAATTTCATCTTCTCTATTACTCTTCGCGCTTAATTAAGGGCGGACACCCCTGTACTATTCCGGATATCGCAGTTTAACTTCCTGATAAAGATTATTTTCAATAAGGTTGATAGACAGTGATTGTTTGTAAAGGGTACGAAATTCCATGTCACGCAAATCTTTAAAACCAATTAAAAAGAAAATCTTAGGTTGAAAAAATAAATTGCACTTCATTATAAAGAATGACAAGACTTTTAGACCTTTTAACGTTACTATGTTTTGTCCGATTGTTCCTGTAATAAGATTCTTACCCTTAAAACAGTTTGCTTGTCCCTTTTTTGTCCATAATGTGATTTTTTCTTAATAATTACATTTTTCAATATTCTGTCAATCCGATATTGCATTGCGTCAATTTATTGTTGTGTCTATAAGGCCAACTTTAAGATGATGTTTGCTTGCCCTCTCCCGACTCAGGATGAAAAAATTGAGTCGGTAGGTACATGTAGGTGAGAATTTTTTTTCAAAGAAAATTTCAGAATCAATGCTGAATTTTCAGAATCTATCTTCCGGAATGCATAAAAAATAATTGCTTCCTGGGGGTTAAAAAAATTCTGAGTCTGGCCATTTTTAGACATTCGGTCAGGAGAGGGCAACCAAACACTTTTTTAAAGATGACCTAATGTGATACCTAATTAGATCTTGCAATATGAAAAGTTATGGAGATCCTTATTACGATAAGGATAATAAAAACGAGAAAATATTTATAGGACGAGGGCAATTAAAAAACAAAAATCAAAGTATCTACATGGAGTAATTTTCTTTTTGGGGTCTATGAGGATTATATTCATTAGCATAAACAGCTTATCACCACGTGTTGCAAAGTAGAGTTATGGCTTCATAGACAACAAATACTGAACACTTCTTACTTCAATGTATACATTTATTTACTTTTGAAATCAAGTAATAGTGATGATAATACAAAATTCACTGAAACACGCCAGATACAACAGAAAAGAGTCGAACCGGGTGACGTACATATGATATAATGTACTTTAGGACAGGTAATGTTCCTGGCTAAATCAGCCACATACTGTATCTGTTTGTTGAAAAGCAAACGTATTTCATGAATGCATAAAAAACGTATTTTTGAACCACATTCTCTGTCATTGTTCTCGATGACACGTGTAAATGACACACTAAAAAGAGAAAACAAATGAGAGACGAGTCACCAAGAAAGGGCTATCCGTTTCACGAATCCATATCTAAATTACTCGGATGATCTTCGATGTGGTTTTAATGCCAAAATGTTGAGATTCAGCTCTCTAAAAGACATAAAACTCCACACCATTTCTTTGTGCGGTGATGTAGTGAATATTTTACTGCCCAATAACGGAATCATAAAGGATTAATTCAAAGTTATCTTCTCTGAGTGTGGAATAATTTATTGAGTAATGTATTCATAGCCGATTAATCAGTTTCATTTGTCTCTAGATTCAGAAACTGATATGTTTGTTTTATTACTAAACGTCCACAAAAAAATAATAAAACAAAATTTTAAAAAGGCCATACAGAGACAAAGCACACGCATAAAAAGAAGTTAAAGAAATTTATATTCATAAACCCACTGTACTAATTTTGTAAACTGAGCACAAAATGCGTTGAAAGGTATGTGGACGAAGAGACTCTTGTGCTAGCTATAGTATTTCATATAATAAATTCGTTACCTGTCTGAAATTAAGAATTCAATAAAGTAAAATTTAAATTTAAAAACAGTTCTGAAAAGAATAGTTTTGTGTAAAAACTGTTTTAAATTTTTCCCCTGAGTGACCACTTGGATGCAAATGAAAATTACAATACCTTATTAGACATTGAGGGGACATCATTAATCGATTTGGATACATCGTGAAATGTAAAAAGGATTTCTGGGAACAAGGTTTTGTTGAAAAATTGTTGATTTTTGCCTCCATTTTGACCCCATTCCATATGGAAACAAAAATACCAAAACCTATTTGCCCCTCTACAGGGCACGAACAATTTTAATTCTTGCAAAATTGATTTGGCTACTGCAAACCTAATAATTTTAAAATCGCTAGGTTTTCATAATAGATATCTGCTATTTGGCCCTACTGCTGAAAACGTATTTAAAAAAAAAACTGATTGCATATAAACAGGTAACCACGTCATTTATAAAAAAGAAAAATGCTTTTGTTGCGTTAAATTTAAAAGGAATCAGCTTTTGGGAACAAGTTTTAAAAGTTTTTTATGCAAAAAGTGTAGTATTCATATCCCCTTTTTGGTCCCATGGGTGAAAATGAAAATTCCAAAAAACTTTCTTGCTCCGATTTAAAATTAAAATAAGAAACTTTAGTTACAATATGAGTATGGAATATAATGAGAATAAATCCACAGTAAGTTGAATAATGTTCCTGTTGTTCTTGAGATGGATATATCGTTTCCGTTTCATTTTATTTAATTTCCCATGTTTTAATTCACGACGAATTCTATTTAACATTTTATATTTTTTTTCAAATACGACTACCCAACAATCACTTTGAATTTGATTTACCATACCAAAAACTACATAAGAATCCTTAAAAAGATACATAGCAGGTTCTAGTATATGTTACACAAAGCCTCTTTTTATTCCTCATCAAAATCGTCACAGAAGTGAAGAAAAACTCCAAGAAGTACTGTACAACAACATCGAGAATTGATGTTAATCATATGTGGATACTTAAAAACTCAAGAAACTTAAAGAAAATTTGAAATCACAAAATTTTACCAAAATCAATAGCATCAAAACATAAGATCGATTTTCATCCCTATATACAACCATTTCCACGATGAATTAAAGTCCTGATTTTTTTTACATAAAAGACAATGCTTTTTTTAAAAATAAAAATGGAACTCGTAGATTTACATACCTTGTCACTGGTCACCTTGTCATTGGTCACCTTGTCAATGGTCACCTTGTCATTGGTCACCTTGTCAATGGTCACCTTGTCATTAGCCACCTTGTCAATGGTCACCTTGTCATTGGTCACCTTGTCACTGGTCACCTTGTCACTGGTCACCTTGTCAATGGTCACCTTGTCATTGGTCACCTTGTCAATGGTCACCTTGTCATTGGTCACCTTGTCATTGGTCACCTTGTCAATAGTCACCTTGTCACTGGTCACCTTGTCACTGGTCACCTTGTCATTGGTCACCTTGTCACTGGTCACCTTGTCATAGGTCATCTTGTCACTGGTCACCTTGTCACTGGTCACCTTGTCATTGGTCACCTTGTCATTGGTCACCTTGTCAATGGTCACCTTGTCACTGGTCACCTTGTCAATGGTCACCTTGTCATTGGTCACCTTGTCACTGGTCACCTTGTCATTGGTCACCTTGTCATTGGTCACCTTGTCACTGGTCACCTTGTCATAGGTCACCTTGTCATTGGTCACCTTGTCACTGGTCACCTTGTCATTGGTCACCTTTTCAATGGTCACTTTGTCATTGGTAATCTGCAAAATTATTTTATTAAAAATCATTCTGATTCTATATGTACACACAAGTACTTCGTTGATCTTTAAAAGATGCTTGAGATTCTGATTGGCAATATCTATGTAGTTTTTGGAGATCATGTCCGCCAACATTCTGTTGGAATTCCCATGGTATTGAAGAAGAAGTCTCTTGCTGTGGCCTTCAATTCGACATTTTAGATATATCAACGACATTTTATCAATTAACAAAATTCATTTTCATTCCTACGTTGATTCGATATTTTCATTTGAACTGGAAATAAAACACACTACAGAGTCTGAAACAAAAACATTAATAACAAAATTACAACAAAACTTTATGATAATCGTAATGACTTTGAGTTATCTATCTTCAGCTTCCCTTATGTTACGTTTATACCACCCCAGTCATGTTATATTCGTCCTTATAATTATATATTATGCAATTAATATTGTATTATCTTATTTCTTTGTATGTCCGATGTGGAAATATCACTATACCATCGTTAATACTATTGTGTAAACATGTTTGTATGTATAATCGTAGGGTTACCCGAATTTCCTCTATAACAACATTTGAATCATGCACATAAATATATGTGCGAGACCCATAAACCCCAATCCTTACCTTTATTATCTATGGCATCATGTCCTAAGTCTTTTCCTTACAGTTTCCTACCATAATCCCCTCATAACACACCCAATTACGTTTAATTACAAAGCTAGGCCGAACGTTCATCTCCTCCAAATATGGCGCTAAACAGAGCGGTACTGCTCAATTCGCGCGAGGATACATTCGGCCCTAGTGATCAAAAGGTATATAAACAGCGGTTTTGGACCCAACTGTCACTTTTCACCCCCAGCCCATAACGGAAAGTCACTTGGCCTCATTACCTAATCTCTATTATTTATTACTGGATTTACTGGCAGTTACCAACTATGGATAACCCGGATCCAGAGAGAATGGTAAATATTATTTAAGACTTTCAGACCCATTTTATTTAAAAAGCTTGAATTTGATGCCAATCCCCGGCAGACCCATACCCATTTGATTATTGTTACAAATTCATACGGGTGACCCGTTAGACCCGGATACCCTTTTTATTTTCGGGTGACCCATAATTTATCATTGCTTAATTGATAATTGTCTTATTGTTCATTGTTATTCATTGTTTTCATCATAATAAATTTTATAAATTTACAACCTGACTTTTTATTTAGAGTTAAAGGGTAAAATTCAGAAACAGGAGACCCACAATAATTTATTTTCATTGTAACAAACCCTGGAACAGGTGTAAACGTTACAATTTGGTGTCAGAAGTGGGATATTTTATCTTGTTTTTGTTTACCCGAAGAAAAAAACAAACCCAATTCTTAATATTTTGTAAAAAAATTTTATTTCTCCAAAATTTTTCTTTTGAATACAAGTTTTGTATCATGGAGACTGATGAAAGTTTTGAAATTACTTTTAAACCACACCCAACTTCACCCGAAGTTCATGTTGACTCGCATGACAGTCAAGATGTCCCAAGTCACCATTCCTTGCCGGCATCAAATTCAATGCTGCATGTACCTGCAAGAGATAATCAACTTGATGTTATTCTCTCAATGTTGCATGATATGAAAATGAAATTTGAACAAGACAGTCATGAAATGAGAGTAAAATTTCAAAATGTTGAGAAACAAAATGAAATCTTGCAAAGGGATAATGCTGAACTCAGAAAGTTGTATTATGACAGGGGAGACAATCATCACAGTCCCAGTGCTCCTTTACCTAGAACCCGATCCCAAGCCAACAATGTAAATGAATCTAACTGTCCCTTCAGTTTCTCATTCGGGTCTAAAGAATGCCCACAAACCATTTCCATGAATGACCATCCAATAAATGAATGTTTAACTCATCAAGAAAACAGGGCCCCTTACCCAGTGTCTGTTAAATCCAACATACCTGTAAAATTGAAAGATTTTGACGGGTCGGAGGATTTCAACGATTTCCTAGCCCATTTTGAAATCCTGGTAACCTTGCATGGCTGGGACTATAGAACAAAATCCCTTTACTTAGCCAGCAGCCTTGCAGGTAGTGCCAGAGCTTTGCTCACTGAGTTAAATGAAACCCAGAGAACAGATTACAAGTGTTTAGTAGATATTTTAAACAGACGGTTCGGGTCTGTAGAAAGAGCAGAACTTTTTAGAGCCCAACTTAAAACTAGGGTTAAGGGAAACAATGAAACAATATCTGAACTGGCCCAATCCATTAAGAAATTAACCCGCCAGGCCTACCCAACCACTGATCAAAGTGTGCTAAGTATCTTAGCCCTAGAACAATTCATAGATGCCCTACCTGACCCTGACATACGTCTCCGCTTAAGAGAGGCAAGGCCCAAAGATATCAATGAGGCAGAAATTCTAGCTATTCGCCTTGAAACCCACAGAATAGCTGATGCTCAGAGATCTGCTTCTACCCTGACCATAAATCCCATTCACAGTAATGAGTTCCAAAGCCTTAGGGAGGAGTTAATCACCATAAAAAACATAGTGACAAACAATCAAAACCCAAAACCCTATTATCCACCCAGAGTTCAATCACACTACCAAAATCAAGGCCCAACTAAAAACTTCAATAACTCCAGACCACCACCCAACAGAGTTATGTCCCCTAAACAAAATTTTGGGCCAAGATCAAATCCATCCCCCAGACAATTTGATAAAAACAAAAATTGGAAAGATAATTACAGAAGCCCTGAAACTAACCGATTCAGACCCAATGGACAGGGAAACCTGCCTTTGTCGAATTCAGGGGTCGGAAATCGGCAATTCCATGGGGCAGGCCCCAACCACTCTCAGTAACTCCTCAAACCCTCCCACAAGATGTTAGGCAAAATTCTAATTGTTTTACTGATGAATTTAAGAATAACCAAGTTCAAGAAAAAGTAAAACTTAGCCCCCAGCCTAACATTGAAAATATGCAAGAAATATTAGTGGGAGACATTAAGGGGGAAAATGATGGCATTTATGTCAAGGGTAAAATTTTAAATAAGAAAACAAAAATGTTAGTAGATACAGGTGCTTGTGTCACAATCTTAAGTACAAAATTCTTTGAAAATCTAGAAGCTGAGGAAAAGCCCCAAATTACCCCAGTTTCTATTAAACTTGTATCTGCAAGTGGAGACTATATTTCTGTACAGGGTAAATGTTCCATCGAATTATTATTTGAAAATTTGAGAATCTCTCAGACAGTGTTAGTGGCAGATATTAAAACCCCATATATTTTAGGGTTAGATTTTCTGAGTAAAAACTCATGTGACCTTTCTTTGAAAAAGATGATGTTAAAGATTCAGGGCTTAGAAATACCTTGCTTTAACAAATCTTATAAGGAAGTGTCTTATTGCAAGATAAGTCTTGCAGAGGATATAATCATTCCTCCCCATTCTGAGTATGTAGCCCCGGCTAGGATTACAGATCCTTTATTTGATTCAAAAATTGGTTTAATTGAACCCTTAGAACAATTTGTTCAAAAACATGAAGTATTGATACCCAAAATCATTACACAAGTACAGGGAACAGAGATTCCTGTAAGATACTTAAATTTGAAAGATGAGAGCGTGAAACTTTATAAGAACACCCATATTGCCACTATTGAAAGTGTTGAAGTAGTTGAAAACCCAAAAGACCCCAATCAAACTTTTGCCCTCAATTCCATAAAATCAAATGGTTTACCCATATTACCTACCCACTTGCAGTGTATTTTAGAAAATGCTCCTAAAGAACTTACTCCAGAGCAAAAACAAAAACTAGAATCTTTATTGTTAGAGTATCAAAGTAGCTTCTCTGCATCTTCTACTGACAAAGGCCTGACAAATTTAGTTGAACATAAAATCAACACTGGTAATGCTCCTCCAATAAAACAACCACCAAGAAGAATACCCTTAGCAAAAATGCAAGAGGTTGAAAAAGAGATAAATGACATGTTAGAAAAGGGTGTTATAGAAACTTCAAATAGTCCCTGGAGTTCTCCAATTGTGTTAGTTAGAAAGAAAGATGGGTCTATTCGTTTTTGCATTGACTATAGGAAACTTAACGATGTAACAATCAAAGATAGCTACCCCATCCCACGTATTGATACTACCCTCGATGCTCTGTCAGGCTCGAAATGGTTCTCTACCATAGACCTAAAGAGCGGGTACTGGCAAGTCAAAATGGACCCCAATGACAAACCCAAAACTGCTTTCTCCATACCTGGAGGTGGACATTGGCAATTCTTGAACATGCCCTTTGGCCTGTGCAATGCAGGTGCAACCTTTGAAAGGTTAATGGAAAAGGTGCTCTCTAATCTTTCCTGGAAAATATGCATGGTCTATTTAGACGACATTATTATCTTGTCCAAAACATTTGATGAACACCTTCAAAATCTTAAGCAAGTTTTTGAAAGATTAAAATCTGCAAATCTTAAGATGAATCCCAAGAAATGTAATCTTTTACAAAAACAAGTTTCATTTTTAGGCCATGTTGTAAATGAGAATGGAATTTCTACTGACCCAGACAAAATTATAGCTGTTCAAAATTGGCCAGTCCCAAAATCAGTTAAAGACATAAGGAGTTTCTTAGGCTTATGTTCCTATTACCGAAAATTTGTCCATAAATTTGCAGACATTGCCAAACCCCTCCACAAGCTTACGGAGTCAAGACAAGAATTTTTGTGGGATACTAATTGTCAAGAAGCCTTTGATAAACTGAAACGCGCCCTTACTAGCTCCCCAATTTTATCATACCCAAATAATGAGGGACTATTCATTCTTGATACAGATGCCTCTAACGATGGTTTAGGAGCAGTGTTATCACAAGTTCAAAATGGTACTGAAAAAGTTATTAGCTACTTTAGCAAAACGTTCAGTGCATCTGAAAGACGGTATTGTGTAACACGCCGAGAACTATTGGCAATTGTTAAGTCCATCAAGAATTTCCATCATTATCTTTATGGCCGAAAATTTAAGGTTAGGACTGATCATGGTTCCCTGCCTTGGCTTTTAAATTTTAAGAACCCAGAAGGCCAAATTGCTCGATGGTTCGAGTTCCTTTCACAATATGTATTTCAAATCGAACACAGAGCCGGCAGAATCCATAACAATGCCGATGCTCTTTCCAGAAGACCCTGCCCTGAAAATTGTGGTCATTGCAATAGAGCAGAAGATAAATTCAATCTTCTGAAATCACTACCCTTATCTGTTGTAACAAGATCATCTAAAGACCCTAAGCCCAGCAATGATGATGATAGTACCCTTCCGACCCAGTTGTCTGACTCCATAGATGTCAAACTAGCCCAAGATAAAGATCCTATCTTAAGTACAGTCAAAGATTGGGTAAAGTCTAAAGAAAGACCCAAATGGGAACAAATACCCCACCTCAGTGAAACTCATAAATATTACTGGGTGCGATATGAATCTTTCCATATAATGCAAGACATCCTGTACCATAAATGGGAAGATGCTCAAATAAAGTACCAAATAGTCCTACCCCAGTCCCTTAAAACACTAGTCCTTCAACAACTACATTCTAGTATAACTGGTGGTCACTTAGGTAACAAAAAGACTTTGTCTAAAATAAGAGACAGATATTTCTGGCATCACATGTCAAATGATGTTCAAGATTTCTGTAAACAATGTGACATATGTGAGTCCAAAAAATCCCCTAACAAGCTACCTAGAGCACCATTGCAAAAATATGTAGTAGGAGCCCCATTAGAAAGGTTAGCTATTGACATCATGGGACCCCTTCCCCTTACAAAGAAAAAGAATAGCTATCTCATGATGGTGGGTGATTATTTCACAAAATGGATTGACGCCATTCCCTTAAAGAATCAAAAGTCCCACACCATTGTCCAAAAACTTTTAGAAAGAGTCATTACTGTATTTGGAGTCCCCATGGAAATACATTCAGACCAGGGTAGATCCTTTGAATCTAAAATATTTAAAGAAATGTGTCAAATCCTGGGAATTGAAAAAACCCGAACAACCCCATATAGGCCACAATCTGATGGCATGATCGAAAGGGCCAACAGAACTATTGAGAACATGCTTTCCACTTTCGTTGATGTAAATCAACAAAATTGGGATGAACTCATACCCTACTTAATGATGGCCTATCGTTCTTCTGTACATGAATCTACAGGCATTAGTCCTGGTGAAATGGTCTTTGGACGTCCCATCAATCTTCCCATTGACCTTGTCCTTGGTACCCCAAACCCTGAAACAAAGAAAATGTATGCGTCAGAATACTCAAACCAACTAAGTAAGAAAATAGAAGCTATTCACAATTTTGCCCGAAACAAATTACAATTATCTTCCAAGAATATGATTAAAGAATATAGCAGAAAAATAAACCACAACAAATACAATGTTGGTGATCTTGTTTGGTTTTATTCACCCAAATACCCCTTACATGGCAGAAAATTATGTAGACCTTGGACTGGTCCATACACTGTCATTAAAAAGGTTAATGATGTCATATACCAAATTAAGAAAGCCCCTAAACAGAAACCTAAAACAGTGCATCATAATCTATTGAAACCTTACCGTGGTACCCAAAGTCTTCATACTACTCAGTGATGATTGTGCTCACCCCTTATACCACATTATCTTTTTATTATTTACTTCCAATCATCCATTTCCCAATACCAAATATCCCAATATTTTTTTTTACAGATTCAGAAATATAAATGCGGTATAAGTGATGCTGAATTTGCCCTCCCCAGCCATTGTGAGCGACACATGACGGCAGCACACTCTGGATTTGGCCATATGTGCTCGAAATGTGGCATTGTTTTTGCACGAAGAGATGCCAAACACGGATGTCAGAGCTATTCTCTCCAAATTGTTAAGAGATCTACATGTACATTCACCGGCGAGGAAGCCATTGAATTTGAAAACTTTCAGAAATCAAGATCAAAGTTTTGTATTCCTTTCATGAAAAGCATGCCACCCAACCACCGACACTTATTTAACAAGACGGCTAAAAGAGCAATGCTTACAGAACCTCAAATCCCAAGAAAAAGGAAAAGGTACACAAAGAGAAACAACAAAGAAATGAAAAAAATACCAGCCCTCATGGAGTTGGAGCTGCCAAATCCCCCAGCCTCATTCAATGAAGAGAAGAGAGGACCAGTGCATGTGTCATCCCCTGTAACCTCAACAGCCACTTTAAATCAGATGAAGGCTGTCGATAATACTCCAAAATCGCCTAAACCAGCACCTCCTGTGGATCTTCTTCCAGAGCCCTCTGCAACCCCTCAGGCTGAGACTAACAATAGGGAAACTCTAGAAGGAGACCTCCATCTAAGTGAGTCAACACAATCTGAAAGACAAGAAGATGAACTGTCCTTATTTACTGATGGCGTAATCGACCCTGTAGAACAGAATAATGAACAAACTAACTCTGCCTCCGAAATTGTGACACCTGAGGATTCAAGACCCAACATTCCATTAATGAACAGAAAATCAATAAAATTACTCACCTTGGAGGCACAACAAAAGGAAATAGTAGTCCTAAACGTTGGAGGAAGAACTTTCAACACATCTAGAACAACATTACAGGCTGATCCATCTTCTATTTTTGCACTTATTATCTCTTCCGAAAACTTCAAATCTTCTGATGACCGCCTCTTCCTGGACCGAAACCCAAAACACTACGACCTTCTGCTTGATTATTTAAGGAACGACTGTAAATTACATACCTCAACCCTGCCAACCTTCCAACTCTCCAAGAGATACTAAATGAAGCTAAATTTTTGGAACTGGATGACCTCAGCAAAATGGTGGAAAACATATTGAAGGATTCTTTTCAGTAAGTGAACTGTATGGACTTAATGTGGTGATCGCGGATTCTTTGATTAACTCTGCGCATAATGTGGACCCATTTATTTCGATTGTGAAAACTGTGCTTAAGATGCGATATTTAGCGTTCAAAGAATTTCTATGGACTAACCATGTGATGAAGTGCCTATGGACATTGAATGGACATTTGTTTATTGGACATTTATATATTGCTTAAGGTATATGTGTGTTTATAATTGAATTATTGATGATATATTTTGTTCATGTTCATTTGTAAATACTGTCATGATCATATTCTTGAAAATTTTCTTAAAGTAATGTGTTATGATGTTACTTATTATAATTGCATAATGTATTCACATGTATATGAATTATTCTTATGTAATGAAATTATTGATATTCCCACAACTAATGTATAACATTCGGGACGAATGTGTTTAGGAGGGGGGCTCTGTTACGTTTATACCACCCCAGTCATGTTATATTCGTCCTTATAATTATATATTATGCAATTAATATTGTATTATCTTATTTCTTTGTATGTCCGATGTGGAAATATCACTATACCATCGTTAATACTATTGTGTAAACATGTTTGTATGTATAATCGTAGGGTTACCCGAATTTCCTCTATAACAACATTTGAATCATGCACATAAATATATGTGCGAGACCCATAAACCCCAATCCTTACCTTTATTATCTATGGCATCATGTCCTAAGTCTTTTCCTTACAGTTTCCTACCATAATCCCCTCATAACACACCCAATTACGTTTAATTACAAAGCTAGGCCGAACGTTCATCTCCTCCAAATATGGCGCTAAACAGAGCGGTACTGCTCAATTCGCGCGAGGATACATTCGGCCCTAGTGATCAAAAGGTATATAAACAGCGGTTTTGGACCCAACTGTCACTTTTCACCCCCAGCCCATAACGGAAAGTCACTTGGCCTCATTACCTAATCTCTATTATTTATTACTGGATTTACTGGCAGTTACCAACTATGGATAACCCGGATCCAGAGAGAATGGTAAATATTATTTAAGACTTTCAGACCCATTTTATTTAAAAAGCTTGAATTTGATGCCAATCCCCGGCAGACCCATACCCATTTGATTATTGTTACAAATTCATACGGGTGACCCGTTAGACCCGGATACCCTTTTTATTTTCGGGTGACCCATAATTTATCATTGCTTAATTGATAATTGTCTTATTGTTCATTGTTATTCATTGTTTTCATCATAATAAATTTTATAAATTTACAACCTGACTTTTTATTTAGAGTTAAAGGGTAAAATTCAGAAACAGGAGACCCACAATAATTTATTTTCATTGTAACAAACCCTGGAACAGGTGTAAACGTTACACTTATTTACGTAGCAATATACTATTATAACCTGCATATGGTATATATTTTATAAAAATATAAATATTTTTATAAAATATATATATTTTTATAAAATATATATATTTTTATAAAATATATATATATTTATAAAATATATATATTTTTAAAAAATAATCTTAATTGAAGATTAAGATCTTCAGTCTTAATCACCATTAAGTTGATTAGATACGCAGGACCAAAATCTACGTACGAACAATTTCTAAAACGAGAAAAGCTATTTACAAATAACTGATGCTACAAGCATATCAACAGTGTCGTTTAAAGTCAACATTTCGCAAACTCTATGGTCAACGATGACTTTGTTAGCAAATGCTATCGTTAAGTCGAATGTTGACTGACGTTTTCAATACAAATTGTTAGGGCATTATTTTCACACTGAATTGTGTACGGGTTTTTATGTTTGCCCTATCATGACAAGGAGCACAGCGCGGCAGGGGATGCTTACTCCTCCATGGTATCTGATTCCACCTCTGATTTTTTAGAGGTACTTATTTGCTCTGCTTCCAATTTGTATTGTTCCAATGGGCTTTAGACCTTGATTTCTGTTTGTTATCTTCATGTTAATACAAACCATGATGTTGTCGGGATCTAAGGGATCTAATCAAGGCTGGTTTTGATTTCTTCAAATGCATAAACAAATCAGGTTACAGTATCTATGAATAAAAAAAAAAGTTACCTTTAATGACTTTCAGCTAATTCATGTAGTTTTTGTATGAATGCATTTTAATTTTTCATACTATTTACACAGAAGGATGGAAAATTGCATGTTAAGTGCAATGATTCATGTTTATCAACGAAGTCACAACGCTGCCTAGCCATTTTATCATATTAACTCTTCATTTCGATTTTAAATGAACAGAAATTTGTCGAAAGAAAAAGGAAATTGTTGACTCAGATATTCATTTCATTATTAATTGAGCTGTTGATTACTGGGTATTTAATTATACGTGTCTGTTTAATGACTCACAGCTACAAAGTCTATGGAAACTAAATTGAGATTTACTCTATCTTTGTAAAATATATGCAACAATATTCATTTAAAAACCTGTAGCTTTTTTTTTTATTTCTTAAAAGAGGATTTCCATTAAATAATTGAGGAAGCGGCTGTGGGTACCCTTATAGAACGATGGATTGGTGTTTTTTTTTTTTAGGAGAATATAGGTGCAGTTAAGAATGATGGATAGTATCAGATCCTATTGCAGATAGGGTCAGGGATATTTCAGTATCGGTTTTATAAGAAATGTAGAGGGACAGATAATGTAAGGGTGACATTTGAGAGTTGGTTTATGATAGAATAAAAGAAAGGGTTATAGTTTTATAATAGGGCTATTTTAGGGAAGGCTGGCGTGTACATGTCACACGTATAAGAAACGTAGTATCTGAAAACGTTAATATTCTATTCAATGATTAGATTTCTCACTAAATTGATTTATAAAGAAAGAGGGGTAACTCACTTTAAATATCTGAAAACCTTACACCAAGTATATGAAAACATTTTACAGCTAGAGTAGTCGGTTTGTAGTCGTTCTTTTGTATATGTATTGCAATACATGATGTATTGCGATACTTTGATTCCTGATTTATAACTCATTTATAATAATTTTTGTATATACATTGTATTAATAATTCCATGGATTCCAATCTTACAACATTTTTGTTCATATTTTAGTCGAGAAAAGTATAAATACCACATTTTTAGGGAGGAAAACTACACCAAAATTTTATTTAATATCTCTTTTGAAACCTGGTTTCAGCAAAGAAAGGTTGATATAAGCTTTTACTATTTTATATGATATTTTTTCTGTTTTTTTTTTTCAGAGAAAATGTAAAAATTGTAATACGTGTGTTTGCAAATGAGATATTTTAACGTATAAAATTTGACATTAATTTAAGAAATGAATTTCATTTTCATTTCTGAGAATTCATGAGGACATGAACTACGACGCTTCATGCCGGCATATTTCAGGAAGCGTGTTAGCGCTTCATGATAAGCATGCTGATTCTTCAGGCGTTTTCTGATGATTTGCCACATATTTTTATCATTCAACAATCATTTTTGAAAAAAATGTTTGCACTATTTTCTATCTTCACTTACGTTACAATGGAAATATTCTTACTCATCCCACTGTAGTTCATTAGAAAGTCAACTTTTTCAAATTTGCAAAGAATCTTAAGGGAAAATATTCGTAAATGTAAATATATAGGATCTCCCATGATTTGTAGTTGGATGGAATATATGGCGATAACGAAAGTATTCAAGCTCAAAAGTCCATTATACAATACAAAATAGGAGCAGAGCAAACACGGACCTCCAAACATCAGAGGTGGGATCAGGTGCCATGGAGGAGTGAGCATCCCCTGCCGACCGGTCACACCCGCCTTGTGCTCCTTGTCATGATCGGGAAATAACGGAAAAATCCGTCGACAATTCAGTGTGTAAATAATGGCCTAACAATTAGTATGAAAAACGTCAGTCAGCATTTGACTCAATGATAAATTTGCTGACAAGGTCATTGTATCGACCAAAGAAATGATTTTTATCCAACGAGTTGTGTGTTTTTTATCCCCGAGCCTTGGCGAGGGGATAAAAAACACAACGAGTTGGATAAAAGTCATATCCAACTACAAATCATGGGAGATTCTTTTTATCCCATGTTTAATACTTCACAACCAATGTTTTACACTGTTTTATACAGGACTCCACTTTATTTTACTTCATCACTCTAACGCAAAAACCATTGTGACGTCACAACTGCACTTAAGTGTGGAATATGAAAAAATTATCCAATGAGTCATATCCACGGGATAAAGGGGTAAACATGGGATAAAAATGCATATATCATAAAACATGTCAAGAAAAGTCAGATAGATATTGAATGTATTTAATTAAAAAAAATATCAATGAAAATAACAAACATTATTTGTAATCCTTTAGCTCTACTGATAAGAGATCAGAAGAGCTTATGCAATAGTAAGGTGTCCGTCGTCCGTCCGCCCGTCTGTAAACAATTTTTTAACACTTCTCCACCTACAGTTTTGGTATGATTTAGGATTACGCCAGGCGTTGGGTCAGGCATGAAAAAGAAGAAC